TGCTTATGTCACATCCTAACTATATCTATTTTAACTAAACCCTAAAGTCATCTGAAAGAGGTGTCCAAGCCTGAACACCTCCTTCCAATCCCAATCATAAGCAATAGGAAGCTATCCCTAACTAGGTGCACATTATCCTTAGTGACAAGTAGGGAGACACTGTAACCATGCCTCCAAAGGGCTGGCTACAGGTGTCTCTCTACACTGCTCTTGAGAACTGAGCTCAGGTCTCCCTTTCTGTGTTAGCAGTGCTTATCTCTCTGGAGTGCCTTTTCTAGTCTGGGTGGATAATCCCATGCTTCCAATAGTCGAGCAGTAGGAGCAGTGGCGTACAGCATGGGGACCACTGCTCTGTGGCCACTGGCCATTGCAAAGCTCCATAAGGCTCAGGACAGATCACTGGTCTATTTCAAGAGCCATCTGATGTAACATTCACTAGCCATAGAATAGTGAATGATCTCATTCATCATGTGTAATATTAGTAAAGATGGCGTTCATAGAAACAGAGTAGAAGGCTGGTTACAAGGGCAGGGAACAGGGGGGAATGGGGAGATGCCATTCCCTGGGTCTGGAGCTTTCTCCCCTCTTGCTTCATTAAGCCTCTTCCTTTGTGTTCTTCAGTTCTCCTGTAGCCACTTCCTCAGGAAGTCTGCTCTCCTAGAGACCTCATGGGCCTATAGTTACCAATAGCTTGTGGGGCTCCTTGATGAATGTCAGCTCTCATGAGCCCCAAGAGCAGAATCCATTTGTTTATCAAGTCTGCCATGGTTATGGTCAAAAGGGTTTGGTGAATATGTGATGAACAATAAGCCTTATCCCAGACCTGACTTTTGCCTTTCTTCTCTTGCCATCCATGTCTGCTTCCAGGGACAATCCAGGACAGACTCACCACAATGTCTTTATGTGGCATCCAGGGCATCTCAGGGTCCTACAAAGACTCTGCAGTGCAGAGTTGCTCAGTGGGTTTCCACTTAGGTCGAGCTCCTTCAGGCTTTCTGCGAATTCAAGCATGGAGAAGAGAACCTGCCAAGTGGCATTAGTCATTGGGGTCCATCTGGACCTGAGGAGAGAGAGAGGGGGAGATGGTATGAGGGATGTGACTCACATGTGAATGGTCTGAGGTGCACAGCCCCACACAGCAGACTAGCATTTTTATTCTTGTCTGCCTGAGCATCAGGCTTCCATATGCCATCCTCAGGACTCACCAGCTTCTGCATGCGCCTTTGCTCCAACATCTAGATCCTCTTCTCTGGGGGGTTCCTCATCTACATCCTTAACGTAGCCTGTTGTGTATTCATTTTGTGTGTCTGTTTCTGACTCAGTGTAGGTGTCCCACGTCTTTTCTTTTTAATCTACAGTACCCAGCAATAGTCTGATATAATAAAGGAGCCTCATAATTCAGACAGCCTCTTCATTTTTATATGAATATGTCTGATTCCCTTTGGAACAGAATTCTGGCATCTAATAGAGGAAAACTGAAAAGGGGAAATGGGAAGAGAGCTCAGGAGAGTTAGTTGAGAGTGACTCTGTGGTGGGTGTTGAGCATGGTCATAAATACTACTGATGTGTTTGTTTATGAGAGACAGATAGAAAAATAGATAGATAGATAGATAGATAGATAGATAGAGGAAGAGTCAGATATACATACAGACTGATCATGATAGGCAGAGATAAATTGACAGAGTAAGATACACACAGAGAGAGAAAGGAAGGGGGAGAAAGATGGAGAGAGCGAGAGAGAGAGCGAGAGAGAGCGAGAGAGAGAGAGCGAGAGAGAGAGAGAGAGAGAGAGAGAGAGAGAGAGAGAGAGAGAGAGAGAGAGAGAGAATATATTGCCCTGCGTGGTAAGGGATTCCTTTAATGCTAGAAAACAAGCACATAAAGTCAGGAGGACAGTGAATTTTAAATCAGCCTAAGCTGCAAACTACAAGGGGTTGGGAGTAGCTTTGAGTCTGGTATGTGCAACGTTTGTTCCCTAACACTGTAAATATTCAAAATACAACCACAAGTTCCCAAAACTGAGATTAGAGATGACCAACTCTGACTGAAACAGAAAGTATAGGATGTTTTCTTTTAATTTTACAAAACTAAAGAATGCCAAGGAAAACAAATAGTAAACTTTGAAGGACAGTGTTGTTGTTGTGGTTTTTTGTTTGCTTGTTTGTTTTCTGAGACAGGTTTTCTCTGTATTGTTTTGGAAGCTATCCTGGAACTCACTCTGGAGACCAGGCTGGCCTTGAACTCACAGATATCCACCTGCCTCTGTCTTCCGAGTGCTGGGATTAAAGGCATGTGCCACCAACACCCAGGTAAGGATGGTGTTTTTAAAACATTTTATTTACTTTTTACTCTGTGTGTATGTAGTAATTCGAATGTAACTGGTGCCCATAACCTAGGGAGTGGCACTATTAGGAGGTGTGGCTTTGTTGGAGTGGTTTCAGCATTGTTAGAGGAAGTGTTTCAATATGTGGGCTGGCTTGGAGGTCACTTTTGCTCCGGATGTCTGTGGACTTCCTGTGGCCTGCACATCAAGATGTAACCAGCACCACATCTGTCTGCACAATGCCGTGCTTTCCACCATGATGATAATGTACTGACTCTCTGAAAGTATAAGAACAAGCCATATCAACTAAATGTTTTCCTTATAGAGTTTCTGTGGTCATGGTGTCTCTTCATAGCAATAAAAGTGCTAACTAAAACAGTGTATGTTTGTATGCCTGCTTGTCTGTTTGCACTCTATGCATGCAGAAACCTGAAGAAACACTTGAAGCAGGGCATCAGATAAAGGTGGCTGTGATCCAGCTGATGCGGATTCTAGGAAAGGATGCACACACTCTGAAAGAGCATCAGGATTTCTACCATGACTCTACTCTCTCAGCCCCCTAAGGAATGACAGATTTTGATGAATGGTTAATTTTAACACTGACTGAAATTGGAACTTCAAATTGTACTATTCAAAGAACATGAGGAACCATTATGAACCCCACACTGGTTGCTCACTGTGGTAGTTTGAAAGAAAATGGCCCCCAAAGGGAATGACAATATTATTAGCTGTAGTCTTGTTGAGTAGATATGGTCTTGTTGAGTAGAAGTGTGTCACTGTGGAGGCAGGCTTTGAGGTCTCATATGTGCTCAAGCCATGCCCAGTGAGACAGTCAACTTCTAGTTGCCTGCATAGCAACATGTAGCAGCTACCTCTTCAGTACCATGTCTTCCTGCACACTGCCTTGTCCTACCATTTTGATAATGGACTGAGCCTCTGTACTGTAAATGAGGCACCACAATTAAATGTTTGCTTTGAAAGAGTTGCTATGGTCATGGTGTATCTTTACAGCAATAGAAACTCACTCACCTGACATTTGCGATTTTTGACTTTGGGGAGCTTCCACCCCTGTTTGCTTAGTGTCAAATGGCCTCCTTGATGAACTCCCTGCTTTCACTTTCTCCCTAGCAGTCAAAGGTTCATGCTCTCCCACAGGGTAGCCCCTAAGCTCCTAGGGCCATGGCCCATTTCAAGCATGCTGGTGTTTGTTGTTTTTCTTTCCCTAACTTATCTCTGTCTCTGTTCATACTCAGAGTTCTTCTGAAGTTCCATATCTGACCACTCTTCTTGCAACACCCTTCAATGCTCATTTTTTATAACCGTAGACACTTAGAAAAAACTTATACTGGCCAAGAACAGGGAAATAATTCAATTTACTAAGGTACTCTCCTGAGGCAATATCAGAACGCTATTCAGAAAGATATTGTACTAGACCTTTAGTAACCTGAGGAGACAGCCTTGAATCATTAAGAAAATAAATGTGAATAGAAGATAACAGAGATTGTGTGGCAAAGTGTTCCCATTTAAAATACATAGAGAAAAGATTAAAGGTCATATTGCATTTTTTCTTTCATGCTGTGGGTATAAACTAGGGTCTTGGGCTTATTAGGTGTGGTGTTTTGAATCAGATGTCACCTAGTCATGGGCATTTGAATGCTTGGTCCTCAATTGGTGGCACTTAGGGGGAAGGCTTAGGAGGTTTGCTTTTGGGGGAGGAGATAAGTCGCTGAGGACAGGATTTAAGATTTCAAGGCCTGGAGCCATTTCCAGTGCACTCTTTCTGCTTCCTGCCTGTGGTTCTAGAATGAGCTCTCAGCTGCTGCTGCTCCAGTCACATCCTTTCCCTCTGCCATGATGGACCCTGATCCCCCTGGAACGGTAAGCCCAAATAAACTCTTCTATAAGTTGTGTTGTCCATGGTGCTCTATCACAGAAAAAGAAAATTAGTCAATAATAAAAATCTCTCCTTAGTCCCTGATATTTTGAAATCACATCACATTATGTAGCTCAGGCTGGCCTGGGACTTCCTTCCTTGTCTCACACTTGTGAGTTTGGGAAGACAGGTGTGCATGACCAAGCTCAGCTACTCCAATTCTTAATGCTGTCCAAGCTGAGAAATGAAATTCTGGTTGACATAAATTTTTGTTTTGATGATTGGTATAACCTCACTTTTCTATATCCAGTATGTTTTTATTATTAGTCCATCCTAATGATATAAAATGAGAGTCATTGAGACAACTTCCTCTATGTGTGTGACACAGTTTGATCCCTTTTGTTCTCTTTGACACCTTTCCCCTCCTCTCCTCATCCTCTTCCTGTTTTCTAACCTTCAATTTGCTACTTTTAAGTTATTTATTTTCCACATGAACTCTTGTTGTGTTCAGATGGGTGTCAAAGTCTGCAACTCTGAATAACAGTCTGTTCCTGCTTATTATTACATGGCCTATGTAATTAGAGTGGTTGTTTCCTCACCCATTTTTGAAAACCTCAGGGGAGCAACTGTGTTTTTCCTCTTGTGATTGATTGGCAGAGCCTGATATAAATCAGTTCTTAATGAGTCATCTAGACAGTAGAGAGACACATTGATACCAAGTACCTCTGCACAGTGA